CATGATTTCACTCATATGTGGAGTATAAGAACAAAGAAAAACTGAAGGAACAAAACAGCAGCAGAATCACAGAACCCAAGAATGGACTAACAGTTACCAAAGGGAAAGGGACTGGGGAGGATGGATGGGAAGGGAGGGATAAGGGTGGGGGAAAAGAAAGGGGGCCTTATGATTAGCATGTATAATGTGAGGGGGGCATGGGGGTGCTGTGCAACACAGTGAAGACAAGTAGTGATTCTACAGCATCTTACTACACTGATAGACTGTGACTGTAATGGGTTTTGTGGGGGGGACCTGGTGAAGGGGGGAGTGTAGTAAACATGTAATTGTGGATTAATGATAAAATGAATTAAAAATAAAGAACAACCATAGTCATATAATAGCTTGAAACTGAATCATCATAAATGGAGAAGAAACAGCATTTTGTGAGCTTCTAACCAAAAATGTTTTGTCTTATTTGTTCCACATATGGAGGCTCTGCCATTTTGCTTGAAACAATAAATCTAGCTAAATGATTCAACTCTTTGACATGTTGCTAGTCAAGGTTTCTACCTAATACTTTGAAGTTTCACATAAACCTATCTTGACATTTGAACCAAGATGTTGCTGAAGTTCACATAGGTAAGGAACACCTAAGGCCACTGGTAAAGCATCAGAAAAAAATATGTAAGCATTTAATCAATTCTAATTTAAAATACTTAAATTCATATTAATGAAAATTTTTTAAAAATATCACATCACCGAGCCCCTACAAATTTTCTGACAAAGTAAGAGGACCAACTCTTGGTGCTGAGGCAGACTAGGATAAAACAACTAACTTGGTTGACCTCTGCAGTGTACACTGAGCTGAATTTTCAGTGACCTTGAGCTTTTTAGTTGGTGTTTCTCTGCACTATGCAGACATGGAAGGTGAAGGGCAAGGAGAAGGAAGCACATCCACTTTGATGTGAATTGCATATAATCTCATCGTGAGGTTCTATATATCAGAGATGCTGCCCTTAAAGAATTTACAACGGACATGGAAAGACACTTGAATACACTTCCTCCAGGAGGCCTCTTCTAATCCCTTACATTCACTGTCATAGCACTCACCACATTGCATTGTAGTCCACTGTTTAGATGCTTTATACTATTTGTTAAGACCCATTCACATAAAAATATACCAAGCATGTTTTAAACCAATTTCAGACAAATTCTGTATGGACATATGCCAAAATCTGTTTAAAGCCTACTACAAGGAGGTAATTTCCAATGAGTTGAGTTTAAAGATTTCTTTCCAAAAAAAAATTTTTTTTTTAGGAAGAAAGTGTAGCTAGATAATATAGATAGATTATGTTCAAGAAGAGAACATTTGGTTAAAAATAACTAAGCTCCTCACAGGATAGGCGGTCAACTGTGCAAGTTGAGTCTCAGTTTATCAGGAAATTGCTCATCTCTGTTACAAGAAATGCTTGGTATTTCCTAGAAGAAACTGTTCCTTACATTGGACAAATTTCTGACCCAGACCGCTTTATCTTAAGATTGAGACAATTTTCTAACAGTAAAAAGTAACAAATATTCATGATCATGATAAGAAAAGTAATAGAAATTCAGAAAGGGAAAGGTTACTGGGTCAATCTGATAGGGAAAGGCCTCAGAATTGTCCTTGAAGGCTGGGTGTAGATACTGAAGTAAAGAGGCACAGTCTATGGTTGACCAGGGTAGACAGGTAGTAGAAGGCATCTAAACAGGGGAGAAACATAGTTCAAGTGACATCATAATTAGCCTGAGCTGGTGTGGCATGCAGGAGAGAGCGAAGGTGCAGGGGATTGGATGCATAGAGGTGCTAAATGTTCTCCAGGCATGAATGAGGTGACGTAAATTGGCATTGCAAGGAGGACCAATGTCAAAATATGTCTTGCACAGGAAAAATGCAGCTTGTGTATGGAGGTGAGAGGTAGAACATGGAAGTTGTGAGCTTTGCCAGAGGTAAAAATCCCTGATTTAACTTTCATATTTTCCTTTCTTTGAACACTCCCTGGTGAAGATGCTGGTAAACACAAAATGAAGAGACCAGCAGGGAAAATGGCAGAAGACAACAGATGATTAAATGCAGGCACTTGAGGCTGAGGTCGGGGAGCTGCAGGGAGGTGGACCGTTCATGGTAGGCGTTGGTGGTCCACTCTTGGTTGTTCTCGGTTCTCTCATTCCTGATATATTGGATGGTCCTGGAAGACAGAAGCTTTGCCCTTGGCATTTATCATCCAAACTATCCTAAACTTGGTTCCCCAATCCAATCCCCAACCCCTCTAATGAAGAGTTAGCTTGTAACAGAGACTGTTTCCATTTATCAGAGTCTAGACAGGGGAACAGTGGGTAAAGGAGTAGAGGTGAAAGAGGAAAAGGTGGGAGAAATCACTCACCTTCTTTCATTTTTCATTTTTCCTTCATTTACCTTCATGGCTTGTCAATGGTCATCTCAATGATGTTCCTAGTCCTAAGGGATATAGACTTATGAAAGAAAAATAAAAGAAATGGATCGCAAATGGTTGAATGCAGAAATCAAAAGTAAGAAGAAAGGATGGGGTACAGAAGACAGAGGTAAGAAAGAACCTAGTGAGGGATGGTGAGACCCACTTGGTGATAGGGTACCATAGTTTGCTGACTCCAGATCATTGAGGATGTGTGATATTGGAGATCCTGCAATATTGGGAAAAAGATTGCTAAGATGAGCTCTCTATTTAATCCACTTGTTTTCACAATTATGAAAATACTAAGCAGGGTAGGGATGAGGATGCACATTGCAGTTTCCCAGAGTAAGAAAAATTGCCCTATAGAAAAGAAGACATGGTGGATAGACAATGGAGAAGTTGAGAGAGTGTCAAAGAAGGGATTACAAGAGATAAAAAAAAAAACAAGGGAAAATTCAGGGATGTAACAGAGGGCTTAAGAGGGTTTACA